GTTTCTCTCCTTTAACTCTAGTTTTTGGTTCAGCCCCTTAAAGCTCTTATTATACCAAATGTGAACTTTTAAAAAATAATATAGACTTTAAAATTTTGTACTTGAAAATCGTTATTGATTGCAACAACTGATTATACATTTAAAAACAAATGAAAAACTTAAAAACTATCTTATGACTCGCGCAAGAAGTAATGAATAATAGAATAATATTTGAGTTAGAAAATAACTTCACTCCCTATAATATAGGTCAGTTATTGACCTAGTTTATTCACGTTTCATAATCGCTAAACAAGAATTAAAAACAACTAAAACCATTTACTGTTAACAATTTTTCTCACATATTTTTATTATTTTTTAAATATTAATAATCATAATAATTAATTTTCTTTATTTTTCTATTTGATAATTAAAAAATATTAAAGCGTTGGAGTTTCCACTTTGTTTTTCCTATCATCTTTCTCATTTTATAAGTCATAACATATTATATATATAACATTTTTTTTTATCTCCATGACACCTAAAACGGTCAAAAAAGAATAATTTTTTTATATTTAATATATATTATAGACGAAATTATTATTTATTGTACATTAAAAAATTATGACATCATGTTGTATTATTAGTTTTTTTTTATATAATCTCTAGAGCTAAGTTAAATTGGATCAGATTGCTCATTATCACAACTTTAATAGAAAAAAAATCTTACAATGATAAAATGAAGATTTAGTGGGATCATCTATGCTTCATTTAACTAACAAATTAAGACTTTAAGTTGATAAGTGATTGGGTATAAATTAAGAATAAACCATCGTCTTACGACCATTCGCAAAATCAAACCATCAATTGCATCATACTTTATTTGATCAAAGTATATAAAAGTATATAGAGGGAATGTAGGCACAAAAATAACAGGATTTTAAATATCTTAAAAAATGTCCAGCTAATTAGATGAAACTGGCTATAAGTTACCTTAAGCATTGATACTATAAGATATTCAAATTCAATAAAAAGTAAGAGAATATCTGATTATACACAAAGGTCAATTTGTCACTATTAATGGTTGATTTCATATAATTTTTGTCAGAATAAGTATATCGCTTAATCATCATCAACCTAGTAGAAAATGATTCTCATATGTCAAAATCTCAACCAAATTTTTCCTACAAAATCATACAATATATATTATACCAAATATATTATTATATATCAATTCAACATAGTAATCACTAATATATAAAGATACTTTCTCACAATATAAGAATATTCTCCAATATAACAAGAATTAAATATTTTACAAATCATGGATAATTACTCAAACATCATTTTATTAAAGGTTTAATAATTTTGTTACTTTGCATGCAACATTTTTATATTATCCTATATCATATATCTTTACTTTCTTAGGCATTAGAATTAAAAGCCTTTTGTAGGCAATTCATCCCTTCTTTTCAACATAATTCTCTATTGCTTGAAAGGAACATCATAAAATTCGATCGGTCTCAAAATATAATTGTACCAATATTTATTATAAATATTATTTTATAAGTTTAAAAATATTTATTGATAATCTAAATGAAACAAATAATTAAATATAAATATAAAATATTGTATTTTTCTCGTGTAAATAAATTTAGATTATGCGTAATGTGGTGACAAAAGGAGCATGCAAAATAACTGAATAAATCACATAAGTTTTTATGTTGTATTTGTTTATCAATGAATGATACAAATGTAAGAATTAAAATCTACCATTATATCTTCTCTCACTTTCTTTTATCGATCTTATTCCCATTCCTAATTGATAATTTGTTGAGAATGTTTAGGTAAAAATTTGCTATGAGATAATATTATTTTATTTTTTAACGTTGCTTGTAGAATTTGATAATTCTCATTCTCATATCATCTTCAATATAGTTATTTATAATATAAAATACAATTTTGTTTCTAAACAACGTCTTAAGCATCTTGGGCCTAAAATGCTTTTACGTTGACATAATAGAATGCTGATAATACAACTATTTAAATCAAAATAAAATAAAAAAATTATTTGTCTAAAAAAGTGTATCATAATTTATGATAATATAATTAAAGTTAATCTTTAAGTAAAAAAATATTTTTTATTTTAAAATTATAATTCAATTTTATCGATAAAAGATATCTTAAAAGAATATATTATACAACAGAAAAATATAACATTAAAATAGAAATAAGAACAACTCTTTTAAAAGATTATTTTTAAATATACTACTAATTAAATATATATATATATATATATATATATATATATATTATTATATTGAATTCATGCTATAAGTGAACTTGTACTTCTTAAATGTTGAAGTTTGTTAATTTATATTCAAAATTGGTTATATAAGATTACAATCGATCATTACACAATAATTTAAAATAGAAGAAGTAGATGGTTAGATTTATAATTTTTTTATTGTTAAAATATAAGTTATTATTTTCTATTTATGGTAAGAGTGAAAATAATTTTTATTTTGTTTTGACTCGTAGATCGCTCAAGTCCTGCATAATCTGCAACCTACCCGAAAATAAACTTTCGGGTGAAGAGATACTGATCTACATAATTTTGTTTTTTAATATTTAAATTAGTAGATTATCTATAAATTTTTATATTTTTTAGTTTAATTTAATTTCAATTTTTTTATATTTTTATTCATTTTCAATGTATAATTATTTATTAATCTTAGGTTAATATTAGTGATATAAATTTATTTTAATTATTTTTTAATTTAATTTAAAAAAGTTAATGATGATCAGAGAGATATGTAGAATAGTCTCGTAAAATTTGTATTTAATTATTTAAAATGACAAATCAAAAATTATGAAATTGAGGATTAAATTTATATAAAAAAATATTAAATGATAAATTTTATTTTATTATGAGGTAAACTCGGAGGTTCACAATTATGCATGATTAAACCATCTATTTTATTTTGTATGGGTCAAATGTGGAGGAGTCAAAATAAAATGAACCACTAATTATCATTCTTAATTTATGATTTAAGATTTAAAATAATAATAATAATAATAATTTTAGAAATAAAAAGTTGTACCCATACATTATAATTTAGAAATAACTTTAGTATTATCCAATCATATTATCTATTTGTGTTGTCCAACAACTATATGTAACAAAACACTCAACAAATATTTTTAAGTTGTTTAGTCCTTTAAAATTTAACAATCAAATATAGTTTTACAGTTTCTTATGGCTATTACTTTTTAGGATAAAGGGGTCTATTGGAATACATGATCCAAAGTGTAAATAAATGACGGAGGGACTGAACGGTGATTAAAAGTTCCAAAAATTGAATTTTAGAAAATTTGTCCGCACAAAGATGTGAAGAAATATGCACAAAGGTAGATTGCTTACATTGTATATATAATTAATCATGTTATCCAAATGAATACAAACATTTTATAATCATAATAATTACGTCCATAGGATAATAAATATTTAAGGTTTATAGGCTTATTATGAGAATTAAAAATAAAGAATAATTTTATATATATATAATCTCTTAATTCATTAAAAGACTATTAAAAATAAAATTACGAAAGATTAAAATTCAACAAATAATATTTTAAATATAATAATAGATGTTAAAGATGATGTTATATAATCAAAGACAGAAAGAGGAGATTAGCACGGGCCATGATCCGTTACCCCCAGATCATTTTTTTATATATTTATAATAATAATAATAATAATTTTAAAAAATAAAAATAAAATTATTTTATAAAAATTAATTTAATTTAATTTTTTATTTATAATATATATTATATTTATTTTTACACTTTTTTCATTTTTTTTTCTTTTCTCTCCTAATTTCATATTTCTACTTTTCTTCTCCTCACTCTTTTATTTTTTTCATTTCAACTTTTTTTATCAAATATTTATCTTGTTTTTTCATATTTATATTTTCTAATTTTATTACTCAGTAACTTTTTTTATTTTTTTATTTTTATCACTCATTCACTTTTACATTTATCATTTTTTTTTCATATTTTTATATTTTTATTTTATTATTTATTCACTTTTATATTCTCTTATTTCACCGTTTTATATATTATTAAATTTTTTTTTAATTTTATTTCTATAACATCAAAATTGCAATTTTATACTTTTTATTTTTTTCATTAAAAAAACATAAGACAAAATTTAAAAAATAAATAAGATATTTTTCAATATTTTTTAAAAGAAAAAAAAACAATAAATAATTTCTATTTATTTATTATTATAATAAATTAACATGTATAATATAATATAAAAATATGAAAATTGATATAAATTATTTTTTTATTATAAATTAGTTATTTATTTTAATTTTTTTTTATATTCTATTTTGGATGTCAAAATAAAAAAATTATTTTATAAAATTTAAATTTAATTAATAATATTAAATATATAATATATTTATTTTTATATAATACTTAATTTTAATTTTTTATATATTGTCTCTTCATTTTTGTTTATATATATATATATAACAAGGAAATATTAAATAATAAGACATAATATTTATAATTATTGAATAAGTATATATTTTTATAATATTAATAATAATAATAATAATAATAATTAATTGATTAAAAATAAATTAAATTAATAAATAATATTCAATGAATTTATTATTAACAAATTAATTCATATTACTTTTCACTTTTTTAATTAAATAAAAAATTCTCATGTACTTTTTAATATATTTATTTCAGGAAATAACCAACACTTTTTTTTAATAGTCCGTCCGAGAAAGTCAAAGTCTTACCCTTCAATGACGCTCACGCGGTTTGTATGCGTTGCTGCTTTCTGCATCTACATCACGTGACTCGCACGTGCAACTCAAATCGTGTTTCCAAGTCTTCTCACTGATACACTGATAAAATAAAATTCAGCGTCCACTCTACCGTTCTTCTCTTTGCTGAACTCTTTTCTCTCTGCGGCGGTTTCTGGTCACCAGAGATCTCTACCGATGTCGGTGAGTTGGAATCACATCCTTAATTTCTCGTATTAGTATTCGATGGATCATTTCCGTATTTTAAATATTTATTTCTTTGAATGCGCTTACTGTATGAAACGTTGCCTCCACCTTATAATTTTTTGTATGTGGAGCTGATTCCGTACAAAGTTTGTTTAGTTTAGTTAGAACGTGGAAGAGTAGATCCGTCTTAGTTTTTTGTTTATGTGACACCGTGCTGTATGTGTAGTTCATGTGAATTGATTATGTATTATTAATATTTGGTATTTCGATTTGGAAAGTTCTGCTTTGTTGCGGAGGTTTGCTTTATTCTATCTTGGCTTCGGAGAAAAATTCAAATCTATTCACGTTTTATATGTTCTTAAGTGATTGTTGTTTAATGCGTGGTATGATTTATTTTAAGATTTTGTAATAATGCTATTGAATTGATATGATTGCAGATTTTGGAGAGGTTTATCTTGAATGTTTTGATTGAAATTCCCATGTTTCGTCGCCCTGCACTAATGTTCCCGTTCAAATGGATTGAATAGCATTGCTAATGTTAAATGCGAGGATTGAATAACGGGGAATAGACAAAATGCTATGTTTTTCTTCAAACTTGTATAATAATCATTACGATTAATTTGTCTGGTGGGTAAAGATTGAAGAAATATGTTAGTAATCCTTGTAAATTGGTGACCCAAATGTATAATTTTAACAATGTGCATATCTCTTTACCTGGCTGATTAAGCTGTGTGTTATGTATGGGTTTCAGATGACTAATATTTCTGGATTTCTTCCTTTTTTTTTTCTTTTTTTTTCTAAAACAAACTTCTCCACTTTCCAAATTAAATTTATTAATTTTTTTTTTTAACTCTCCCACATAAGTCATGTCCCCTCTTTTCTGACTCTTTATACAAGATCGGGTTTAATATGAATGATAGTTATAAGGGGCAATTATCAACATTTGAAAATGTACGAGTGAATTGACAGCTTGACAATAGTTATATTATTTATATATATGTTTCTTTTTACCATTGCTAATGGTATAAGGTAACATCACAACGGAAGTTTCCATCATTTGGAACTTTGCTGAGTAGTAGTATATGCTTCGTGAGACTTAACATGTGTGCATGTGAGGAGGTGCGTTCTCCACTGTTTTAACCTTTTAGTGTTACATTACTTTCTTTCCAGATCAAAACTATAAAAGTCAGTAATGTTTCCTTGGAAGCAAATGTGCAAGACATTAAGGAGTTCTTTTCCTTTTCTGGTGATATTGAATATGTTGAAATGCAGAGGTCAGTGAGTTGCTTTCCTTGGTGTTTATCTCCTTTTTAGAGTTTTTTTTTTTTTTTAAGTTTTATTGTACAAATTATAAGTTTCTATATTAATGCAGTCATGATGATGGACGAACTCAAACTGCCTTTGTTACCTTCAAGGATTCACAAGGCGCGGAGACTGCAGTATTATTATCGGTAATCTGCCTGTCATTTGTAATCAATATATATATATATATATATATATATATATATATATATATATATATATATATATTCGTGTCAATTCTCAAACATGATTCTTTGTATAATTATTGAATATGCCAAACAACTAATAAAGTTATCCTGTATTGACTACCAAAACATATATTCATTATTGAAAGTTAAAGATTCAGAATTACAGGATTGCATGTCATTACATTACATTGACTGGCATTTTCTACTTTAAAGCATGATAATGCAGTATCAGCAACTTACTCAAAAGAGTACATTATATTTGATAATTTGAGAACCTTGTTGTGCCATATGTTTCAAAACTCTTTACTTTGAAAGGCTTTCAAAGTTCCCCTTTTCTTGAATCTCTTTAGCATATGTTGATTGATTTTCAATCTTCCTCAATGTTTCTATGTTATTGTTTTACTGTGTTCCTTTTCCCAGGCTTTCGTTACTATTATTGTCAGTAATCTTATTGGATATGTTTGTTCTATTATTGATTCATGTGAATCTTGGATACTAGAAACATTTTTTTCCCTGCTTTAGATAAAAAATTATTTTTACTACTGGAATTATTTTGGGAATTTTTCATCAACTTATAATATCAGATTTTAAAAAGTTGGAAGGAAAGAATGCTTGTTATTCAAGATTTCTGATGCTGATTGGAGCTTGTGTTCCATGCAGTCCTAGCCATTAAGCTGTCTTATTTCTGGGTGATTTTGTGTAGAAATTGTGAAGAAATTAGTAATTGGAACTCGGAGGTGGTATGATTTTGCCTCGATATGGGATGTGTCTAACTTTTGTCTTTATTAGTTGGGTACTATAATAATGTAATGATATTATAATGAGTTTACATCATTGTTCACAACCTGCTACATTGGTAAATGTTTATTTTGGTCCCAAGATTATGTGTTGTTGGTCCTCCAAACTAATATGCAACATCAAATTGCTCTTACAATGTCTCTTTTTTTTCTATATAATTAACCCATAAAATGACTTCAAATTGATCCATGAAGAATGACATGGGTGACATTAAATGTCATTGATAAATGTGATGCCATGAAGCAATGTGATGCCAAATGTTACCATCCATATATATCTATGAAAAACTAAAATGGGTGTTTACTTGTTCCTTTAATGTAGAATTTTATATAGCTTGAGATCATATTAAAATTTAACTAAGTTTTTCAATATTTCAGGGAGCAACAATAGTTGATCTGTCCGTGAAAATAGCATTGGATCCAGATTACAGGATTCCACCTTCTGCCTTGGCATCATCTGTAAGCTTTGTAAACATCCCCCTACTTATTGTGCTTAAGTGCCTAATGTTTTTGCCTAACAACTGAAATATTTTCCAGGAAACAGAGAATAAAACTCCTGGTGGTGCTGAATCTGCTTTAGGGAAGGCAGAGGATGTGGTCACCAGCATGCTTGCCAAGGGTTTTATCTTAGGGAAGGATGCTGTCAACAAAGCAAAGACTTTTGATGAAAAGCACCAGTTATCTTCAACAGCTTCAGCAAAAGTTACCTCTTTTGACCAAAAACTTGGGCTTAGTGAGAAAATAAGTGTCGGTGCTTCTGTTGTGAGTGATAGAGTTCGAGAAGTGGATCAAAAGTTTCAGGTTTCAGAGAAGACCAAATCAGCATTTGCCGTTGCAGAACAGAAAGTCAGTACTGCAGGGTCTGTTATAATGAAGAATCGATATGTACTGACTGGGACTACCTGGGTAACAGGTGCTTTTAATAAGGTTGCCAAGGCAGCTGGTGATGTTGGACAGAAGACAAAAGAGAAAGTGGTAAATGCAGAAGAGGAACAGAAGCGGAAAGTTGAAGAGCAGTATGCACAGGTCCTTTCTGACTCCCCAATGGCAGCTGCAAGACACGATCTGCACTCTTCCAAGGCTGCTCCTGCCCAGGGTTTGATCCTCTGATTTGCTTCATGTACATACCTTCTTTGAAACACTTGCAAATTGTTTCCATATGAACGCACCTTTTTATCAGATTGGAAATGAATGTAACACTGATTTTACAAGTTACATGCACAAGTTTGCAGCTGTCTCTTGCTTCCATAAGCATTATAAAATGAATTTTCCCTGGTTTGAAATGTTTTTTTTTCTATTATGTTTGGTGGCATAATAACTTTTACCGTTGTGACGCATCTTGTGCTTCAATAGGTATATTTGGTTGACTCGGGGAAGAAAAGGTAAAGAAATGGAAGATTAAGACAAAAATTAGGTGTTTATATTGCTGTTCTTTAATCAAATGTGAACTTTTATATGCCAACTAAATAGCGGGCTGCAGAACTGCGGCTCTGTGATGATTTGAAAAAAAAAAAATTAAAAACAAACTCATCAGGGCTCGTTTGGAATTTCAAGATATAATAATAGTGAGAATGATAAAAAAAAAAAAAATCATAATAGACATATAATATAATAGTCACTGTTTTGCTATAACTATTATGATGTAGTGCTTTTATAGTTGACTGTTATACACGTTGTATAGAATTTAAAACACTGTTTATAAATATATTATTGATGAGATGGAATTCTAGTTTTAGTTGAGAAGATTGTCAATAATCTTTTCTAATTGTGGAAATTACTTAAACAAAAATTGAATTTATAATTTGTAGGTTTGTTTGAAGGAATCATTTGTAAATTTATATATATATATATATATATATATATATATATATATATATATATATATATAAATTTATATATTGCAAGTCCTGACCTGTTTCCGTGGTTTCACTTCAACTCAAGGACAAAATAATACAGTAGAGGACGTTTGGTTTCTGAATTTAAAATTTGTAAATTATGGACGAAGTTATAAGAGACGAACTTTTATCAAAATCATGTATTGGCAGCATGATTTCTTAAATTTAAGCATGAATTCTTGTGAATGGATAATTGTTTATGAATGAAAAAATAGGTCATTGCTTAAATACTTTAGCAATGAAACAAAATTAAGTAGAAAAATATGGGGTAATGGGAGACTCTACTATTCTTGAAATAAAGGATTGTCCTGTTAGAAAAAATTAGGATGGATTGCTTAAATATGTTGCGTAAGATAATGAAATTTACAAATAATTGTTCTAATCAAATATGACTAATAATAATAATAATCCTAAAAAGACAACAAATAATAGAAGAATTTTCCAGCTTCCAAATTTTACACATATTCCAGAACATTATAGGTCAAACTTATTTGTGGGTACCTTTGGATAAAGGATCTTTTTAATATGAGGTGATATTTTGATAACTAAAAATTATATAATTTTTTAAACCATTTATTTTTATTAATATAATAATTTATTAAATGATTTAATAAAAATAAAAAAAAATGGTTTATAAGAGTAGTATGGATTTAGGTTGTAAAAATATTTTTTTTTTTATATTATGTATGTTTACCTATTTGTCCAAAAGCTTTTATTAAACCTACACTCATCATGAATGAGTTTTTTTGTTATTTAATACACTCATCTTTATATTTTGTCATGTAACTTATATTTATTTAACCACAACCCAAAATGTTGTGTTACTATCCATGCAGGTATATATAAGAATGAGGTTAAAGACAAAAGATAAATCAATGGGAAAGGGAAACCAACAGTTGAAAACGTCACTGTGACCAAGATCTTGCAAATGCAGATAACTATGCATTAAATTCAATATTCATAAGAACAAAAAAAACCCTAAAAACGCAATCACATAGCAATCTGTGTGAGAAAAGAAATGGTGTTGTGGGAGATTACACTTGCCACTGCCTATGTTTTGGGTCTCAAGCGAACCTACAGGCTCGCCCTCAGAACTCAGCGTAGGGTCCTAGCCCCTAAGATCCGTCAATTTGTTCACCGGTACTTTTTCCCCTCTTCGATATTCTTCGTTTGTGTGTTTCTTCGTTCCATGCTATTTAGATTGTAAACAGTAGCCACGATGTTACTTTGGTTTTGTTATGCATGTTCAGGATGCCTTGTTATGTATTGGATTTGGAATGTTAGGATTTTTATAGCTCAGATCAGGAACATTTTCTGTTCCTCATCTCTTTGAACAAGAAATTTTATGTCTTCGATTTTTATTTTCTTTCATGTGAATTTGTGGATACTGGATGTCTGATTCTACTAGGACATGTTTGGTTACAGAAAAAAAGAGTTATTCAGAACTTTTTCACTATTAATATAAAACATTTTTATTGTAAATAGAGAGACATTGGCAGTCTTTTAGCTTTGTATTCAACCGTGCTTTTAGTCATGTAAATATTGTTTTTGTCCCCATTTTTTTGTTTTTGATTTCTTGCTTATGAATTCAAGTTTCTGCATATGGGAATGTTATGTTATGTTCTTTTAAAAGTGACAGTTTGTCAGTGCTGTTAAGGAAAGACATTTGTGTGTTTTAGAATGGGTAATACTTGGTGTCCTTTTGGGATATGAAAGCTACTCTAGTTTGATTATATTTTCATGGAAATCTTGGGTTGGGATGAACACCAGAAACTCTATAATATTTTTTGAATATATATTGTATTCAAATCATTCTAGCACGCCTCACCTAGGAGGATCAAGTTTAGTTGTGGTTGCCTTTTATTTGTTCATCCAGAGAACAAAAAATGGGTTGGGATATTTGGTAATAAGTCTAGAAAATAAATCTAGTACAAAACAGAAATAGTGGCATTCTAATAAATTGTGTGATTTACAAAAGTAAGTTTGGAAGAAAAGAATTGTAATTTCCAATAAATTTCAAGCTATAACACTAGTGGTTCAAAAGGATATATCAGATAGAGTCTTCGATAGCATTTCTCATACATAAAATGTTCCAGGTAAGTAATAAGTTAGTAACTGTGTTTCTTTTTTTCTTTTTTTTAATTCTTTTTATCTGTTTGGTTAGTATTTTGTTCTGGTTGCTAAGCATTCAATTTTTCAAGCGTAACCAGTCATGTAATAAGATTTCAAAACCAATCAATTTGTACTAGTTTAATGAAATTGTGAAATAATTGAGGTGAACTTGCTCATATCCTAGGGTGACCACGCATGTAATCTTAGCTTTATCTGACTTGAGAATGTTTGACATAGTTGATTGTTCTTTTTCTCCTATTCTTTGTCATGAACATATTAAAACGATTTGTTAATGTTAGTCGCTATTAGTCACAATACAATTTCTAATCTGGTCTTTCTCTTTCGAAACTTCACAGACGAACACGGGCTGTATTTGATGTAGTACTAAAAGTTAACCAGAAAATTCAAGAAAGAGACATGGCTGTGGGTCGAAATATGGGAAACTACATCTTGCAGTGGCTGAATAAAATGAAACCATTGGCTCAGATTCAGGGTGGATCACCCTCCAATGGTGCTATTTGTCCAAATTTAAGAATGAAAAAGCTTGCATCAAGTATTTCCAACAGCAAAGCTTCTAGTTACTATCGATTATTCAAGAGGGACTCAGGTAAACAATACACCTGGTTCCAACAACAATGCGTATGGTCAAAGCCTTTCCCTTCTATTGTAAAGATGATGCGGCCTCCAAATCTTGCTGGGACTACCACCCATTGCAGACACCTCAGTATGAATGCTTGTGATGCTCTTGGGTCAAACCATAGAGTACATTGGCAAGATGATGTTATTAGGAAGGATATCATGCAATGGATGTTAAGAAACTAACATCTAATTTCTTTTCTGGTAGAAGAAAAGTAGTATATAATAATTCATCGTTGTGGTAGATGCTGAATACTATGAAGCCACTTTCTATTTTCTTTCCCTAACTCTTTTTTTTTTTAATTATATTTGTATAACTTGGTTTTCCTGAGCTTCCTTTGGAGAATGAATTTTGTCGCATTTATGTGCTAGAGAAATTAATGCTACATTGTACTTAAAATATTCAAGAGATTCAGAGGTATGGTATGGAATATAACTCAAAACTCTTGTTTTAGTTATATGATTCCCAGTTATTTTGTAATTATATTTGTATTTTAAGTGTTGCAGTAAGACGACCTATTGTGACTAATTATAATGTAGCATTTACATTGGGTACTTCTTTTTAGGAGGTATAATACCTTTTCATAATTGATCCACTTTTTGGATACAGTAGTATCATACCATGTACGTATACCTTATCTTCAACTATATTCTTGCAAAATAGGGACATGTTTTCTTGTATTAAGATTTTGCATGTTGTTATTTTTTTTATTCATATAGGTTTAACCTCTTAGATCCCTCTTTTGTTTTTAATTTATAAAATTATCTGTTTTTTATAACTTTTAAAAGAACGGGTTTAACATCTTACTTTAGTATCTTAAGATTATTCTTTCTTCTAGATAAGGGTGACAATTTATAAGATACCTTCACAGGTAAATAATTATTTCAATTAGAATACAATATCAAAAAAAAAAAAAATATATATATATATATATATATATATATATATTAAATAAAATGTATTTGATTTTAGTTAGGTTTCAATTTTTTCCTTAAATTTAAAATTTAAAATAATTTTTTACTTAATATTTAAATTCAATTTAATATTGTCTTTGTTTTTTATTAAATATTTTTTCTCTCACTAACTAGTGAAAATTTCTTAATGACATTGTTGAATTAAGATTTATTTTGCTGTACACCTTGTCATATCGTAGGCATTTTACACTGCCCTATTTTTAAGCATTTTATTCTTTTCCATCACATCACCATAAAATTATAATTATTATTTAAATATCAAGGTTTAACTTTTGTTATTGTAAATGGTTTTCACCGTTACTTCACCTTGATACAAATTTGGACGATGAAGGAAAATAATGATAACAATTTATAATTAAATATATATATATATATATATATATATATATATATATATATATATATATATATGTGTGTGTGTCTATATGATAAAATAACATTCAAAATATAGGTGAATAAAAAAAGTTGTAAATTAAACTAAATTATATAAATAAGTTTTTAATAGGGTAAAATAAATAAATAAATTGTAATTCATAACAAAATCTAATTATATTAAAATATGTAATTTATTTTGTTAATTTTGATTCTTTCCCAAAAATTGTATCTTGTTAAAATTTCTTTATCAGATGATAATATATATATATATATATATATATATATATATATATAATAAATATAAATATTTAAAGTATGTTAAGAACATATTTATGATTATTTTTTTAATTAATTAATTTTTAATAATATAGTAATTTATAATTTAAAAGTATATCATTAATATTTTAGAAGTAAATTAGTAAATTGAAATTTAATTTATACTCTTTTCATTTTTATTTTTAAAAATCTAATAATCTAAATTTTTTAAATTTAATTTATAAGAATAAAATGGCTTCAATTGTCTTATTGAAATAAAAAGTTGTAATATTATAACTTTTTATTTAATAAACTGTATTTTATAATTTTTTAAAAATAAATTTATTAAAATAATATCATTGAACATTTACAACCTTAGGAATGAAAAAGAAAAAAATTATCCAACTCAACTCCACAACACAACTAATAAATTCTAATTCAAATAATTATAATATTCTAACATTAATGATAGACACTTGTTCTTATTGTGTGTCTAGTTTTTGTTAAACATAAAAAACTTGTAATGAAAACATGCTCTTGTTGTTTATCTGGTGACACAATGAAATACTATTTATTTTAATTTTTTTTTGCTATAAAACTAATTTCTAAAACAATGGAGGGTATCAGTAGTAACCTGGGAATGCAAATAGTAGAAATATAACCAATAAGAAATAAACAGTTTGAACAACGGACCGTTATGTTGGGCTTGAAATCGAGGAAACTTAAATTTTCGGCCCCTAACAATTTAAAGACATATTTGGTCGACGTTGCAACTCTTGTGTTTTCCGGTCACAGCTTCCAGTCTGACATGATCAACGACGACGCGTGGCATTGAAGTATCGTTCGTCCGCCTTGTACACACAGTGAGCACCTCTCTCTGTATCTCGATCCATTCCCTAATTTAATGGCAGACACTCCTCTAATAATTATTTTGTTGATATAGTTTGTAGTTAATCAGTGCGAAAGGGTGTATGCTTTGTTTATAATGCCAATTTGATTTACTTCTCACAAATTTAAAATGGGTTCTACAAGTAATATGCCTTTGATTAGGTTTAAGGGATATATATCAAAGTCTGGAGACTTGCGCATCTCAGGCAATAGGTTTTGGAGAGAAACATAGGAGACTAATTTTTTATTTATTTTGAATAAGATTCTTTGATTTATTAGTTTTCTAAAATCACAATATTTTTTGGGTTGTTTTTATAAACTTTATGACTGTCTTATATTCCTTTCATTAGTAACCCCACTCCTATAGAGATTCCTATTAGCGCAGTGGTGTTTAAGGTGAGGTTCAAGGATGTTTACGTATTGATACTGAATATGTAATCGCCACAAAATGCAAGCAGAGTATCAATTGTCACGGCCATGTTTTGGAGTTATTAGTAGTATGTGTTCGGATTAGTTTATTATTGGAGAAAAATAGTCCTATGATTTTACTTTTTTTAGAAAAAATTTGGAAAAAAAAGGTGCTATGTCCCACTAAAATTAAGCTGAAACAAAAATGAAAAATAAATGAATAACTATAGACACAACTGTATGTTATAGGGAAAAGTTCTGGTTTATGGTGATCCATTTCTGGGGGATCCCTGCATTTGAAAGCCAAGTCCAGATTCAAGTAGCTTAGTGGCATAAGAAAATTCTTGTTGTAAAGGGTATAAGCTGTGCCGTAGGCTATACTGTTAGGCAAGTCATAGGTACAGAGTAGGGGAAAGCAATTGGGTAGCTTATTCGCATAGTTTGTTGTTGTTCTTTATCATATACATTTTAAAAATAATTGTTTGTTTATTTTAATTTTGGGGTCTTGTGATGATTTTTTGCCCTTCTTTGTTCTTTTGCGGTGGATGGGTGTTTTTGAAGCTTGTTTTACTTTTAAACAAAAGATCACACTGTTAAAAGATTTTAGAATGTTGTAATCAGCTCTCTTAAAAGTTCTTGTTCTTTTAATCCAAATCCTGGAACTGGCTTTCTGAAAAATTTGGTGTTGTGAATGAGATTGTGAGTGGGAAACTGTTTTAATTTTGGTCCTCTTTGGAGTTTGTACAAAATTTAGGCAAAATGAATTGAGTTTCCTCCCATAAACTAAAATAAACTTATGCACTTAACTTTCTATATAAGCTCCTTACATTTATTTAACTTCTCTAAAATCTAAGTTGCATAAGTTGACTTTAGCTAATGAAATGTTTTCTCCTATAGATGCTTCATATACAAAGCTTTTTATTGGTATTTGCACATATAACCTTTTCTTGCCTTCAAACTTCAGAAAGAACCTGATTTTACCTTTCATTATTTCCACACAAAGGTGTAATGCCTTCTTGGATATTGATGGACTCCCGATCCGAAAGAACCAGTTTATTCAAGTAAAAAAGTGAGTTACAGTCAGCGTGAATCTGCTATATCGATTTTCCATACCCTAGCTCCCCATAATCCCAGAAACTAGAAGATGTCCCTAAGTGACTCCCACTCCCTATATGATGTAACAATGGATAGGGAGGAATTACTTAAAGTTATAGATGAAGATAGAGGGAGGCAAAGGAAGAGTTCTGCAAAATAGTAGCTTTCATGTAATAAACTCTTTGTTTGGATTTAAGGTTAACAAGGAAGGATAGGATAAGACCTTTTGGAGTTTGGTGCATATATAAGAGGGGAAGTGTTTGGCCTCCTTCCCTTCCTGCATGCCTCCTATTTAAGGATTGCCTTAGGCTATTTTATAGACACTTTTACTTTTGAAAAAAGTCATTTGCGTGCAAAGCCTTGAATGCTTGTGAGAAGTAGAGAGCTTCTCTCTTTTAGGTTCTTATCTTGAGAGCTAGGTCTCAAGTGGCAGATTACCTTTCTTACTTCTTAGAGTTTGAGTGGTGCTAGATTCTTTTTGATTCCTAGCTTCTTTTTATGTCAGATCTTTCCTTTCTTTCTCTCTTTGTTTGCTTTTCCTTGTTCTTCGCTGTGCAAACTATCCATCTTTTTGTGATCCAAACAACTTCCATGACATACCACCTAAATCACCAAGAAATCACACCATAGAGCTTGCCAATTACTGCTCCCCACAAAGAACACCTACAACATCAAGATTTAAGCATGATTTTGATCCTTCATTACCTTATAGCTTCTGCAACCCCTGGACCATAAACCTTCAAAGATTCAACCAATAAACAACCAAGCATGCACAAGCCATTCTCTGTTTTTGACCATCTATTCTTTCATTGGAGCTTGTAAGGATGGCAAACGGGCCAACCTAGTCGCCAGAAACAGGGTGGGGCAGGTTGACCCGCTATAGTCATGACGAGGTTGTAGAGTTTGACTCGTCCCCTCATAATTTTTTATTTTTAAATTAATTTATGTCTCATTTAAATCAAATTTTTCAATAAGATTATCATTTGTTTGTCAACAATTCAACTTATATATTTCAAGTTAATAATATAAATTGACACATTATGCTAAGAAATTATAATTTAGAACAATCAAATTAAGATAAAATTTATATAACAATAAATAATAACAAATACATGTAGGTAACGTCAAAACTTGTAAAATCTCTATTTTTTGTATTGAAAAATTCAAAGAATTAAAATGAAAATTACATTATATTTTTTTATTTGATAAAACTCTACGTTTTTCTCCTTTTGAGTAATTCTCACATATTCAATTTAAGTCATGAGGATAGGAACAATCAAAGGATGAACAAGGTGAGCAAGGAGGAGATGATAAGCAAGGAGGAGAGGAGAGAGTAGCTTATGCTTGAGAAATGAGAGTGTTTTCGGTAGTGAGTGAGAGTGAGACGTTTTGAATTATCTTTTAACATATGTTCACTTTATATGTTGCCTTTGTAACTGATGGTAGTAAAATAAAAATAATTTTTTTATCAATTAAGAGAGCCACGGGCTTGTCCGCCTCGTCTTGTCGAATGGGTTGGCCCGATTGGTTGACGGACTTGACAAGGTGGACCAAAATGGGTTGACGAGCGGAAAATGTCAACCCGTCTTGTCATATTTATAGCGGGCTGACGGGCCGACCCGTCAAATCTAACTTTTTTTCCACCCCTAAGAGCTTGAGATAGTCTGTCCATTTCTTGTAGCAACCTTCAAGGTTCTCATCACTATACTTAAATATTCTCTCTAATAACTTTCTAGAATTTAAGATAATAGAAGAACAAACTTTTAGATGACATTATTATAGATATGATAATGACAAATAAGTACTTAATATATCATAGATTACTAAATTTGTTGTTTCTTATTTCTCCTATAATAGACTCCAAACCTTGGGCTTGCTATTAAGTAGGGATGACAAAACGAGTCAGGTCTGACAGTCCGCCATAAATATGGTGGGGAGGGTTGATATTTTTAGTTTGTCAGCTCGTTCTAGCCTGTCCGTCAAGCCTGCAAACCATATTTGACAAAACGGGTCAGGGCAGGTCAGCCCGTGGCCTGCATAGTTGATAAAAAAAATTATTTTTATTGTAATACAGGTAGTCTTCAATTTTGTGTGATGTTGAAGATATGGAAGCCAATAACAAAGATGTAAAAAAATGGAGGGATCTTTTAAGGGTGTATTTAATGATCTTGAGCATTGATCGTTCCTATCCTTATGACTTGAATTGAAGGTATAAAAGTTATTTAATGGGGGAATAATATGAAGTTTTATCAAATAAAATAAAATAATATAATTTTTGTTTTAGGTTTTTGAATTTTTTTAATATAAAGAATAGAGATTTTACAAGTTTTGATGTTATGTATATATATTTATTATTATTTAAAATTTATTTTAATTTGATTATTCTAAATTATAATTTCTTAATACAATGGGTCAATTTATATTACTAACTTGAAATATATACGTTGAATTGTTGAGAAACAAATAATAATATTATTGAAAATTTTGATTTAAAAGAGACAAATAAATTAATTTAAAAAAATAACCTGCCCCTTTGACGAGATGAGCGAAGGTATATAGTTTGTAATAACTATAACGGATCAATCCACCCCACCCCATTTTTGGTTGGCCAAAGGCGACGTGGGTCAAAGGTGACGTGGGTCAAAACGGAGAGGCTTACCCGATTTGCTATTCTTACTACTCCGGCTTTCGAGTTGGGCTTTGTCAACTTTTTCCCCAACCACTTGCTTAAATACTACTACTGCGTGGGTGAGGATATTGTCATATCTGTTATGGCCTTTAGCTGAACGTCCTAAAAAACTGGCAAATCTTCCAAAAAAAAATTCACCTTCGCGTTCATAAATTTGATGGATTTTTTTAAATAAAAATATGAAGATATGGGTGTATATGACTGATTGTTAATTTTCATCTTGGATATCCAAATGCTTGCTCTCTGTCACAACTGGTTCCCATGTCGTCGTTGAATTTTTGTTTTTGCCCAAAAATTCACTTGTACATGTTTTTCATCCAAGCTTACTAGCATGTTGTATCAAGTTTGTGAAATTAAAAAATTCTTTCCTTTACGAAACTCGTTGTAGCAGTTTTATCAATTTGGTCTGTAAAACAGGAAAAGATACCACAACATCCATCTATAAGGTTTGAATTTCTTCTAACTCGTTATAGAGACTGTAACACTTGTGTGCAAAGCGCTAAAAATATTTTGTGGATGGTTAATTACTCTGGAGTTTGTGGACTACTTGATGGTAGTTTCTATTATCTAGTATTGTGAACGGGAGCAGTAATTTGTGTCTTTCGTTGTGAACAGGAAGTGAGAGCAATCAGCATCAAAATGGAATTAGCGGACAGAGCAGTTGGATTTCTGTTATCCATTATAAGCTTGTCAATATTTACCTACTATACATTCTGGGTTATCATCCTGGTTAGTAACTCAGTATTTTAAATGAATATTGGCTTCCCCTTTTAACTTCCTAATTACTATTTTTATTTATTGATCTTGTGGTCTTTCAGCCATTTGTTGATGATGATCATTTCGTGCACAAGTACTTTTTGCCCCAAGAGTATGCCATACTGATACCAGTTTCTGCTGGCGTCGGTCTGCTTTGCTTCTTGAGCATATTTGTTGGATTTGTGATGCTCAAATCGAAAAAAAAGAGGGCTTAATTTTTATTTTCCATTTTGTTACAGCACTTATTATAAGTTTTGCAGCAGTGAATGTATTAAATGTATTTTCGAACATTTCATACCAGTTAGCAGCAGCTTTACCTTCTGCTTTTTGCGAAAACAAAAGCTCAGTTTTCTTGGCTGTCTTATAGTTACATAGAATGTGTTTATTCGTTCGTCTGCACATGACGCTACAAAGATGAATTAACGCCCGATGAGGAATGCTATAAAATTTTGTTACGTTTATTGCAAAATATTGATACACAGTAAGGAGTGTGTATTCTTTTTCTATTGTTAGAATTACATCCTACGCCAATGCTGAACTAGAAAACAGATGAAAATTTAAATCAATTAATTATGAAAGTATGGCGGGATTTAACTATGAAAGAAGAAATTTAAAAGATAAAGATGGATGTTTAAACTGTTTTCCACGTTAGAAAATAATATAACAAGGTAAGAAAGTCGTTTTGAAATGTGAAATAATAATAAACTCGAACAAACAAAGTAAAAATTACACTTGGCTCAAATTAAAAGAAAGAACACTGATCTTATTATTATTGATGTCTTAGTGTTGATGACAATAATGTTTTAGAATATACTAATTAAGGTATTATTTGTAATTAAAATTTTTAAAATGTTCTTTTTATATATTATTTTGATATTCTATATATTGTTTTTATCAAAAGTGACAAACAAAACGGATAATTCATGACAATGCAATTTTATATTTTATAAAGTAACTCACTCTGATTAGAGTTCATTGAAGATTATAAAATGAGGAGAGACATTAAGAGTCACATCATTTTTGTGATATTTTAATATATTACAATTTATATTTAAACTTATTCGATGCAGAAATCACAAATAAGATCCAATCACAGAAATACAATAGACAATGACTTCAAACTTGTGGTCACTTACAAGGACTTGTTTGGTAGGATAGAAGTGAGACTAGAGAATGAAGAAAAGAAAAATAATAAAGGAGAAGAAAATGTGAGTTTGTAGTTGAATTGATGTGTGTGGAGAGGAGAGAATCCAATGTTCATGGTGTAAATTATATAATTAATTATTTATTGTTTCATAAGTAAGGATATGATTCAAATGATTTGTTTGTGAATTGCGACCTCATTAATGAATATGTATTTTTTTTAGACAATAACATGGACAAAGGTTTACGAAGTTGTTTAGTTAATACCATAAAAATAATAATAGTAATAAAGAATCTTTTAAAAAAAATGAAAATATGATTTTTTATCAATATTTTATTTTTCCGTGAACAACAAATTTCTTTTAATTTTTTTTTATGTTTTTATTTTATTTATTTATTTTTACTTACAGATAATGATTTTTTATATTATATGATGTTGCAAATAATTATTCCTCTTCTAATCTATTCTTTAAAACATTGAAAACTGTTTATTGAGATTAAAACTTGCATATTTGTAATGCATTTACCAAATTGAAATAATACTTATAAATCCATTGTTATAACTTCATTTTTTTTTTAAGTATAGCTAGTGGAAGTTTCAAAGCAACCTCATTACATTGATAACTATGCTAGGAAGTTTGTCCAAGTATTCCTTAATTATTATTTTCATTCCCTCATTCTTTACATAATAAATTCTTGGATTAGTTTAATGTTGCTTGCATCCTCTTTACATTTTCATTTACACTTGCTACAAAAATTCCAAAATTTTATTGGGTGTATTGAGCATTATTAGTCTATGATAGAATTGAAATTTCATACATACATTCAACAACTTATAAATTGCATGCTTCAAGATAAACTTCCATTCTAACAATAGAAATGTGATAGTGTTTATAGACAATCTCACTTGATCTCATCTCTTCTTTCAAAGATAGTTCTTAATACTAGTTTATTGATTCTTATGTTTAGAAAAATAAGAGATATATTATATAGAAGAGTTTCAAAAATAATTTATTTGTGGATTATATATAAAGAGAGGGGAAGGCACAGAGTGAAAGAAAATAAAATATAACAAAAAAAAGTCAAGTACCAATAACATCTCAAACTTAGCTTCCTACACCTAAATAATGATCAAACATTCTTTTTTATCTAAATTATATTTTAAAAACTGAAGCATAAAATAAATTCCTAAAAACTCATCCAAATTACAAATATTGAGATATATACTATCAACAATTTAACAAATTAGTTAAGAGAAAGTTCTTAATAGAAGGGTGTCACAAATTATGTAATGGGCGGGACAATGGTTGAAGTAACAAAATTCAAAATTGTTTCCCACATGATCATGTGAGGTGTATAGTATGATGATCAGATTCCTGGGTGAAATGGTTTGGACAACTTGGTTCCTTTGTGTGGTTGTGTTAATGTGGATTTGTATTTACTTTTCGGTGGTTCTTTCTCTATCCTTGTAAAAAGATTTGCCAATAACTTGGAATATATTCTTGAAACAAAATTTTCCTGTGATTCTGCTGTGATAAATACAATGAAATATTAAATTGCAGTAATTTTTTTTTAAGAAAAAACTTATTTAACTTTCATTCAACATCACCACAAGGTTCGAAATTGATGTCCTGGTTCCCCTCTCTCTGTCCGTTGAAAAATGAGTTGAAGGAATTAGCTTGAACCCTGTTTGTATATGGCAGTGCCCTGAATCAATCTAGGTTTGGCTGTCTAATCAGCAAGAAAAACAAGTTAGTGGATGCATATCCTTGGAATTAATAGGGTTTTAATAGATCTCGTATTAACACAATACTAAGTGATTTCTGTATTATAGTGAGTTATTTTTATTAACATAACAAAGTATCGATATGATGAATCAATTTAATTTAAAAAGCTAAACTTGTTTTCTTCTTGTCAAGCAAAACTTTTACCACACTCTTTTTATCAATATTTATTAACACGTAGTGATACAAGTGATTCTGGATTTAGTTCTTTTAAATTAAGTTTCAAGTTTAAATCCTGGACATGAAAAGATAAGGTTAAAAAGAAATATTTAACTATAAATAATTACTAGTAACTACTTCGTAGTTAAAAAAATTATGAATGTTAATGAGTTTGTATAAGTTCCAATTAATAAATAAGAATGTATGGAAATTAAGTATTTGGAAGTATAGAAAATAACGATGCAATTGTTAGATTCAGATTTCAAGATTTGGGATATAATCGCTCACAAATTCTGAAAAAGAAAGGAGCAAATATTGATATGAGAGGTGATACACGAGAAGGCCCAAAACATTTTATGTATTTTCCATTGAGAAACAGAATAACACAGACACAGTTTTTTGTTTTTGCTTGAAAAATTGAAAATGTACTTTACCTAAAAGAGAAAATGGTTAAGGCCAGGAATTATCAAAAGCGGCAGAAGTAATAGCGTGAGCGAATTCCTGAAAGTTGATCATCCCATCGCCGTCGGTGTCGGCCTCTTTGATCATCCCGGTCAGCTCCGCCGCCGTGAGGGCGTGGCCCAGCTTCGCCATGGAGTGGGCCAGCTCCGCCGCGGTGATGAACCCGTTCCCGTCGCGGTCGAACATTCGGAACAGCTGCAGCAGCTGCTCCTCCGTGTACGGCGATTTTGCCGGCAGAAGCTCCGGCGCCACGAGCGCGACGAACTCGGAGAACTCCACCAGCCCGTTGTTGTTCGTGTCCGCCCTCTGGATAAACACGTCCAATTGCTCTGCGCTCGGCTTCAGACCTAACGATCGCAGAAGCGAACTCAGCTCCAACTGCGTGAGACTCCCGTCGTTGTTCCGATCGAAGGTACGGAATATTTCTCGCAACTCCGTGATTTGTTCTTCGTCCAATTTCACCACATGCTTCTTGCTCATCTTTTGAATCGATCTTTTAACCTAATAAAAACCCTATTTCTTCAATTACTAAAATCAATTAACATGCATGCACAACACAGGTACTGTTAATCTGATTCTAGATCTCCACGACTTGTGTGTGTTTTGTGTTTATGTTTTGTGTGTGGGTAACAACTAACAGGAAATGTCTAAGGTATTGGATGTGGTTGAACTTCCTTTTCCAAGGAGTTCGCCCAAATGTCGGATCTGCTTTGATTGTTCCAAAGAAGAACAATTCAGAGGTTGGTTGAATATTTTTATAATTAAAATATATATCCAACAAAGATGAAGAAGGTGCATTTTTTAATGATTGGTGTGGATTTTTTTCATGTCAAACTCACTACATAGAAAAAGGTATGTGATTAATGATTTTATTGGTTGGTTGAGAATCCATGATTGTTCCATGAACTTGTTCAACGTTCTCATCGTTATGTTAAGTTAATGTTATATTTGTAATTTTTTTATTTTTTTTTCAAATTCATATGTGATGGTTTTATTTCAAACGGAAATAATATGATTTTATTTTTAAGAAATAATCATAAAAAGATTGTATAAGATTATGAATTTTTAAGGATTTATGAGTGGAAGGTGTGGAGATGGAGGAAGTCCCATATTTAATATTTATTTAGAGGTGTTTGGTTGGTTTGACTAAGAAAGTTTGACTGGGGAAATAGGAGGCAGATTGGCGGGAATTGCGTGAGCAGTTCCCACGTTATGCTTGCAGGGCGCAGTCAGTGGTAGAATGAGTGTATCACTCTTTTGACCTTATTAGTGGACCACTTGTCATTATGGCCCATCCAACATTTCCAACCTTCCTAATTTTTCATCTTTTAAAAAATTATAATTTTTCTGTTTTAGTTCTTATTATAAGTGTTTTTTACTCCATCCAAAATTTTTAATTATTATTTTTTGTCTTTAGAATAATAATTATTTTATGTTTCATAACAATCAAATATTTAAACTAAGCATAAACAATTGTTTTCGGTATTTTTAATTTAAATTCATCTTTTAGTTTTTATAATTTAAAAAATGGATATTTTTATTTCTTTATGTCAAATATGGTTAAAGATTTTCCTTTTATGACGAATCATTATAAATCATTTACATGCTTACCTACTTCTATTTTGTATTTTTATTATCGAATATTTATTTTTATGACTAATAATTATAGATAATTTACATGATAACCTACTTCAATTTTGTATTTTTATGATCAAATACTTAATCAAATATTTATTTTCCTTTGAAGTGTACTTACAGTACTTAATTTGATCGTCATTAATATAAGCATAAATGAAATACAAATGTAATATTATGAAGTGTTTTTTTTCCTTAAAATCAACAATTCATTACAAAGATGTTATTATGATACCTCTTTAAATAAGAAGTTCCCGGTTGATGATCGAATTTTTGTTATGAAAGAACTCGATTAGTCGTATTCCAGTAATATACAGTGTTTATTTCAATAAAATTTAAGTAATTTGAATATAATCTAAAAATATAAATTTTCAGTTTAAGATATAAAAAATATACATAACTTATACTAAAAATAGTGATTTTTGTGTGCATCTATTCTCAGAAAATAATATACCTATTTACGCTATCGATTAATATTTATGTTTAAACTGATATTTTGATGTGGTGGTGGTCAAACATTTTGTAATGGGAAAGATTGATTGGACCAGCACAAATAATGAGCGGAATTAATTTCCAACTTAATGATTAGAAAAAACAAGAATAAAAAATCAGAATTTGCTTCAATGACATGCATCTTCATTCCTCCATGTAAAAAATTCCGAGAATTTATAATTGTTTCAATTTTCATCTAAATACTGAAATAATTAAATTCCTGAAAAAATTTAACACAACAAAAGAATAAATTCTTGTAAGGTAAAAATGGAGACGTTACATTGTAGTTAACAAAACATGACACATAGTCCATAAAACCGGGTGTTATACTGCTGGACATTAAAAAATGAAGATGTTTCTTAAGCGCACCATCAATGGAGATGATTTAATATGCATAAGAAACAACTGTGCCGAGAGACTAAAATTTTCATGTTTTTTTTGCCTTAAAACACAGGAAAAGTTTTGGTGATGTTACATCATCAAATTCTAATTTTGCCACAGGATTAAAACACCTAAAATCAACAAACTTATTTGAGAACTAAAATGCAAAGTTTTGGCAAATATAAGGGCTGAAAGATAAAATTTTTGTTCATATTAAAACTAAAACATTAAGCGTTGAATAAATATAAAAACCAAATGATCAATTGAACATTACATTTATATATATTTTTTCATTTAGATCATGCAACTTCTCCCGGATATAGGTATATTATGTACTTAAAATTTATAATACAAAGTTTAACACTTTAATATCTTTTGAGTTCTAACTTAAAATTTATCACTTAATTATCTTATTACTCCCATTATTTATTTATTTTATTAAATTTGATCCTATTATAAATAAAGGTTAAGTAAATCCCTAATTTTTTAACTATTCAATATTAATCATTTAATTTGCCTATAGTATAGTTTTTAATAGTGAAAAACACATTGTTACATATTCAAAATTAAAAAACTGATTGAACTCTTTATTGATGAAAGATTAAATTAAACAAAACATATAAATAATAGAAAAAAATAAGCCTTGTCTTTTTTAATATGCATGTGTCTCTAATTTAAAATTTTAGACTAAATAAATCTTAAAATATTAAGTTAATAATTAAGTTTTAACATTATAATATTATAATTTATAAAAATATAATAACACAAGCAATTTACGTTAATATTATTATATGCTAATAGGGATAACAAAAATTTGGATATTCTCCTTTAAATATGTTTGGGTAAAATATTTTTTTTATAATAATTATTATAAATATTTAATTTTTAGTATAATTAAATATTTTATTTGTGTTTTATATTATAATTATGATAAATATTTGTTTATATTTATCTGGTTTTTACATAGTATTAGTTATTTGGTTAAATTTTTTATTGTCAAATAATTAGTTTTATGGTTTGATTATATCAAATTTAATTGTCATATTTCCTTGCTCATTATTAGAATTCATGATTTAGAAATATACTTTTTCAAATCGTTTTTTTTTATCAAATCTTTAAATAATATAATTTTTTTTATGTGATAAATTATAAACATTAACATACATGTCATTGTTTATGTAATCTAAAACTAACTATTTTTTAATGATAATAATAATAAAATAAATCGAATAATTAATTATATAAAATATAGATAAAATAATTTATTTATATTGAATAATTATTTATAAAAAATATATTGTATCGAATGTATTTCGTTCCATAATTCTCCAGTTTGCGATACACAGACTTTTCATGGAAACAGAAAAACATTAAAACTTATTAAAGGATAACTAAGTGGGCCTAGGTCCATTAAGTCCTTCAGTACGGCGTACTCATTTTTTTCTGGGTCATGTTGTGCCTGGGCCTGTTGATTGGTAACATAATGTGTATTGAGGTTGTTTACTTTTTTGAGGATTATTTAAAAAAAAAAATGGTAGGTAGAATTTTTTTTGAAGAAGTGGTATTGAAGATTTTTTTTTCTGGAAAAGTGTCCTTTTTAAAGGAAAAAAATTATAGAAAGGGAAATAAGATAAATTATTTTAAAAATTCTTATCTCTTTACCTTAATGTAAGCAATGAAATTGCGAGATAATCCGTATATAAGAAAGAAACATTAGCGTGTTTTTACCGCAAGAAAAACAAGAAGGGAAAAGCACACGCTAGCTGGTCACATTGTCTTCATCCAGTCACCGACAACAGAGAATAAACGTCATTCTCATGCACAATAATAAAAACATCAAAGTAATACCGTTCGTTGAATGTTTATCAATTTTTACTAAAAAAAAAGAAAAAAAAAATCTAATCATGCGTGTGTATATATCCTTAAATCATTCTCGCATTCAAATATGGGCATGGCTGAATAAAATAAACATCAAATTAGTGTTGTTGGTCAGTGCCGCAAGAAATGTCATTCGTTAACGGGAATCACAGAAGTGACATTACTCTGTTTCATTTCTTAGCAGTTAAGTTGAAACGCAAAAACCAACAACAACGTACGAAAATACTGCCATGATTATGAAAACATAGTTTGTTGTGTTGTTATTTTCCCACGCATTTTCTTGTTGGTTAAGTATGATTACGAAATTAGTCATCCATTAATTGCAAGGAAACTTGGACTTTTCTCTCTGCTGCAACCAATTTAATCCAGGGAGAGAAACAGAAATAGTGCCAAAATCCCTCGTCTCGCTAAAACAGAAATGAAAACAATTTAAGATGATATTAATTATCATTTTATTTATTATATATTTATCCTTTTAAATATATTTATTATGAAAAGAGAATATAATAAATTACTAACCATAGTTTTATTTGGAGACAACATTAAGATAATAATCATATTAATAAAAAATAATAAAAATTAATACTTATTTAGTTTAATTCAATTTCAAGTACCATATATTTAAAATAGAAAAAGTATTGTTAATATATTATTGTATACTTGAAAATTATTCATTTTCATAATTTTATTGTAAGTTTTTTATTTAAAATAATTTATATTATGCAGTGTCATAACGATGTTTACAAAAATATACTCTTATAGTATATAAAAAATAAACTCTTTTTAACTTTACACTCACACTTAATTTCTTTGTGAGGAGACATGTTAATTAATGTTTGACCACAGATTTACTATAAAAATGTTCACCAATAAAAAATATTTTATTATATTTTTATTTTACTCTCATGACATTATTTACTAATAAAAAAATATTTTTCTACATATTGTCCAAACTCTCATAAACCTTTAAATTAGACCATGTTTATATTATTTTAATAAAAAGGGGTCTTTATCTAAAATGGTATCAGATGCTTAACCATTTTTTAGAACGGGATGTGTATACAGAAGGTGAGTAAGAGAATATGTTAAAAATGCATAACCAAACACCAACAAGGCCTGGTCCGTTTTATTAAATTCTACTGTTTTTCTTCCTAAAACTATCTTTAAAACTCTTTCATCAAAAATAGAAAATCTCATCCAATATTTCTATGTCCCCGAAGATGTTCAAATCTCTGAAATATATAATCCTCTCTTAAGTCCTTGTAATATCTTCAAAAAGACAAAAATCTACTCTTAGGTCTATCTATAAACTCATCTTCACGAGAAGACCCCATGTCACGGAATATGTCCAATCTTTCATAATGGATCAATGTGCTCTAGCCTCCACCACAGAAGAGTCATATGTCAATATTGAGATCCCCAAATATCTCATTAGGTATTGACAAAATCAAGGATACACTCATCTTTATTATGGGGCTATAATTACCTATCTTAGCCAGTGTCTCTCTTATAGACTAAGTTATCTGCACTATGAGCATGTTGTAATTGGTAATGTGTTAATCACTCTCCATGTCGGAAGTGTAGTCCTGATTATCTTTCCTAACTTCAATGTTAGTTTGAAAGATCTCAATATCTCTCAAAGATTAAAGGTTCAAAGTCAAATCAGAGGAGCTAAACAAGTAGCTGATGCACTGTTAACCACCCTTCATCACCAGATAATCTACAGACTGCAAGATCATGCTATAAATCTTGCATTACCCTCGTATAAATATGAAACACTATTTGTCTTGGCCAATAATCAAGATGAAACACCTTCCATAGTTCAGATCCCCATAAACATTTAACAAGAACTACAAAAGCTTATCCCGATGCAGTGGGTCACCAACTATGAAAAGGTCCATACCAATAA